GGCAGGAGCTGAGCCGCTTCCTTCTCGTCCGCTGCAGACGTACTCGGGCCTGTTCTGTGTGGTCATCAACCCGTACAAGCAGCTCCCCATCTACACGGAGGCGATTGTGGAGATGTACCGCGGCAAGAAGCGCCACGAAGTGCCGCCCCACGTGTACGCGGTGACCGAGGGGGCCTACCGCAGCATGCTCCAGGGTGAGTGTGTGTGTGTGGGGGGTGGGGGGGGGGGCTCGGGATCGCAGACTCTGTGCGGCTTCTTGTGGGGCAGGAGGAGACACAGCGGTGGGCGGGGCTCTGAGTCCCGCCCGACGGGTCCCTTTTTCATCGGCCTCTGTGGCCACCCTTCTCTCAACCAGCACCGTTTGGGAGTCACGTGGGCCAGGGTTCTGCCAAAGTTTCTCTGGAGACAGTGATTCTCAGAGCGCTCATCCGCTGATCGCAGACTCTGTGCGGCTTCTTGTGGGGCAGGAGGAGACACAGCGGTGGGCGGGGCTCTGAGTCCCGCCCGACGGGTCCCTTTTTCATCGGCCTCTGTGGCCACCCTTCTCTCAACCAGCACCGTTTGGGAGTCACGTGGGCCAGGGTTCTGCCAAAGTTTCTCTGGAGACAGTGATTCTCAGAGCGCTCATCCGCTCACCGTCTCTGTTGCTGGTGGGATCTGCATGGACATGGGTGGAGAGCAGCCCCTTACATGATGGGCAGATGGGGTTGCCGTACAGCTGGGCAGGTCGTGCACTGCACAGGGGTGTCTGTTAAAGGGGCCGCCGTTCATGCCACGACAATGTGAATCAGTCCTGGCGAAATTACACGGCCCACACACAATGTGCTCATTACTTATTTACTATACATCACCTATTTTATTTTATTTATTGTTAATCCTCACCCAAGGATACTTTTTCCATTGATTTTGAGAGAGAGAGTGGAAGGGAGGGAGGGAGGGAGAGAGAGAGAGAGAAACATTGATGTGAGAGAGGCACATTGATTGGTGCTTCCCATGCACCCTGACCAGGGCCAGGATCAAACCTGTAACCCAGACACATGGCCTTGACCAGGAATCGAACCTACAACGCTTTGGTGCGTGGGCTGACGCTCTAACCATTGAGCAACACCAGCCAGCGCTATCATCTACCAGTATTTTAATAAATATTTTGTCTGTATTAAGATACATATTAAATATTTTAAAATTTATACCTTTCAGTCATATGACATATAAGAATATGCAGCCGTATATGTATATTGTATGTATTATACTTACATCATTTAATAAATGCTATGTGTCTAGGGTGTATTATAATGATACTAGAGGCCCAGCACACAAAATCGTGCGCGGGTAGGGTCCCTAGACCTAGCCTGCGATCAGGGCCATCTTCTGCCCGCTCACCAGTCTCCAGTCCCGCCCCACCACCACCCAACCCGGTGCCCTGTTCGCCATCCGGCAATCGGAGCCTGCGGGCTGGGGGAGCCAGGGGGAGGGACCGAGAGGTGGTCAGTGCACCTCATACTGACTGGTCAAGCGGTCGTTCTGGTCGTTACGTCGTTTTGGTCGCTGGGCTTTTATTATAATGATATATTTATGTCGTAGCATGCAGCGGCTCTCAGCGTGCCGTGTCACCAGCAGCAGCAGCAGCACCTGCTGAGTCAGACTCTGGGGGGAGGCTCAGCAGACAGTGTTTAATGAGACCCCCAGGCTCCTTCTGCAGACCCTGAAGCTGGCGTGCGGGTGTAATGGACGATCTGTAATGCGCCCGTTTCATGCAGTCGAACGTGTTTAGATTTCACGTTTTTATATTCACATTATACATTTACCCTTCATCCTTGGTGACACTTGTTTCCATAGTCTAATGTGTTATACATTTATTTGTATAATTTTCAGCTCTTATTATATCCCACTTACTATTATACCTTAGGGATAAATGTACAGTAAAGTAAGGGCGAGTGCCTACTTCGCGCCAAGCACTTTTCGTGGATTAGCACATTTACCCTCATAGCAACCCCATGAGGCAGGTGAGCTCATCTCCCTGGCTTCCAGGTGGGGAAACTGAGGCACAGTCCTTGCCCCCACTGGTGGCTGAGGTAGGATTTGAACCCAAGGTCCCCGACTCTTGCCTCCCTGGGGTCCAGGATCCCCCTCTCATGTCTTTGGATCTCACATGGCACAGGGTACTTAGATGTCACGTTTTTATATTCACATTATACATTTATCCTTCATCCTTGGTGACACTTACTTGGTCCCATAATCTAATTTGTTATACGTTTATTTGTATAATTTTCAGCTCTTACTATATCCCACTTATTATTATACCTTAGGGATACATGTACAATAAAGTAAGGGCGAGTGCCTACTTCGCACCAAGCACTTTTCGTGGATTAACACGTTTAACCTCATAGCAACCCCATGAGGCAGGTGAGCTCATCTCCCTGGCTTCCAGGTGGGGAAACTGAGGCACAGTCCTTGCCCCCACTGGTGGCTGAGGTAGGATTTGAACCCAAGGTCCCCAACTCTTGCCTCCCTGGGGTCCAGGATCCCCCTCTCATGTCTTTGGATCTCACATGGCACAGGGTAGGGCCTCAAATTGATGTTTGATGAATGAATGACATGCTATTCAGTTGGAGTTTATTGTCTCCTCAGGTGAGAAAACTGAGGCTCAGAGAGGGACAGCGGCTTTTCCAGGGACACACAGAAAGCAAGAGTTGGGTGTGGTATTAGAATCCAGGGTGGCCGGAACCGGTTTGGCTCAGTGGATAGAGCGTCGGCCTGCTGACTGAAGGGTCCCAGGTTCGATTCCGGTCGGGGGCATGTACCTGGGTTGCGGGCACATCCCCAGTGGGAGATGTGCAGGAGGCAGCTGATCGATGTTTCTCTCTCATCGATGTTTCTGGCTCTCTGTCTCTCTCCCTTCCTCTCTGTGAAAAATCAATAAAATATATTTTTAAAAAAAAAAAAGAATCCAGGGTGTCACACATCAAAACCCAAGCCTTCCCTTACCCTCCAGGAATTATTTTGAATAGGGAGTGGCCAGCATAAGGGGCCGGGGTCCTGCAGGAGAGACCCTCCCAAGTGACATGTTCTCCTCTCTCCCCTACAGATCGTGAGGATCAGTCCATTCTCTGCACGTGAGTAGTCCTGAGGGCTTCCTGGTGGAGGTGGTCCCAGCTGGGTGTGGCTCTCCTTGGAGTAGAATCATTGCTGACCCCTCTTGCTTTCCCTTGTGCCCCCCCCACAGTGGGGAGTCTGGAGCCGGGAAGACAGAAAACACCAAGAAGGTCATCCAGTACCTCGCCCACGTGGCATCATCACCGAAGGGCAGGAAGGAGCCGGGCGTACCGGTAAGTGACCTGCTCTAGAGCCTGCCACCTGCAGTGCCCCCTCCATCTCAGGCTCGGCTTCCCCCATAATTCCCTATCTTCCTCAGGGAGGGCCATAGTTATGGGTCTTCTCCTGGCTTCCCATGCTGCTTGAGCACCTACTGTGTGCCTAATAGATTGCTGGGAGTCGTGGCAGGTGGAAAAGAAATGCAAGGGCCAGTTGTTGGCCTTTGGAACAGTATCAGGCACATAGTAGGTGCTTACATTCCTGAGCACCTACTATGTGTCAGGCCTAATTTAGATACCTGCAGTGCCCTTGTTGGCTTTATAAGTGGGCATTTATATAGCGCTTGTCCCTGTGCTCACGTTAATTTCACGCTCCAGGGACGTGGGTAGGGTGTTGTTTCCCTGTGTCAAAATGAGAAACCAAAGGAAGGGCTGGGGGAGTCGCTTTCGGAGGTCACACACCCAGCAAGGGCTAGAGTGGATTCAGACCCAGGCATGTGGTCCTCCGAGGCTACCCGGCTCCACACTCCCAGTTTCCCCTTGTCGCTCTCCTGCCCTGCCCACTGCCTGAGACCACCAGCTCACTTGTGTGTCTGTCCACGTTTCATGTGCCGTGTCCTGATCCATGTCCCGGTCCGTGTCTCGTGTCCTGTGACTTCCTCAGGCCTCCACCGGCACCATGTCTTATGTGAGTAGCAGGGAATCACCTCAAGTCCTAATGCCACCCAGGTCACCCCAAACTACAGTCTTCCTGACAGACAGGGCCCAAGGCATTGACGGTTATACCTGCTAGGGAGTCACACTGCTGCTTATGGTGGTCCTACTAGGTGCACACCAGGCCCTGCACTGTCACTTAATGCAACCCTGCTATGTACACACAGCCCCCCGCCCCCACTGTGTACACACACCTAGGGCCCGTGCTGTCATTTAGTGTGGTCCTACTGTGTGTGTACAGACCCAGTCTGAATTGCTACTTATATTAGCTCTACAGTGTGTGCAGACTGGCCACAAATATCAACATGAAATAACTCAGAGACCAAAAGTACCATTTATTGCTGATCTGCTAAATGTTTGTAGATAGGGCCCATAGACACCATGAATTCACACAACCCAGAGACACACACTGCCATGTACAGGCCCTCGGCTCAGGCTGGTCTCTGAGGGCTCTCAAGGAAATTAAAGAAATAGGCCATGCCCTAGAGAGCCTGGCTAGGAAGGAGGAAAAGAAAATTTCCATTTATTGAGCACCTACTATGTTCCTGGCTCTGACACCAAGATGGCTGTGGGGAAGTTCAGAGTCATATTCCCCACCCACAGGGAAGGAAACTGCTGTTTCTTGAATGCCTACAATGTGCCAGTTGGCACAATAGGCACTTTATGTACAGATGGTATAGATTTTTCCTCAATCATTTCACAAGTAATGCATGCGTACATATTCCCTGTAACAACAGCAAAATCAGATCAAGTGGAATTCCTTTCTTCCTCTCAGTGCCTCTTCCTTGGAGTGGCTTACACTGTTGACAGTTTGGTGTGTATCCTTGCAGACCTTTCTCTAAATGTTTACAAACATATATACATACCTGTAGAATCGGGAGTCTTGGGTGGGTTTTTTTCCCCTCGATTTATTTATTTATTCTTTTTTTATTTTATTGATTTCAGAGAGGAAGGGAGAGGAATAGAGAGATAGAAACATCAATGATGAGAAAGAATCATTCATTGGCTGCCTCCTTATTGATTTCAGAGAGGAAGGGAGAGGGATAGAGAGATAGAAACATCAATGATGAGAGAGAATCATTCATTAGCTGCCTCCTGCCTGCCCCCTACTTGGGGGGGATCGAGCCGGCAACCCAGGCACGTGTCCTTGGCTGGAATCGAACCTGGGACCCTTTAGTCCACAGGCCGACACTCTATCCATGAGCCGAACCAGCTAGGGCTCAATTTGTTTTTGTTTTTTATCAGTGGGATTACATTGTAGGTACTGTCCTGCAGGTTTTGTTTAGTTTTGTTTGCTTTGTTTCCACTCGACAATATATTTTGGAGATGGTTGCTAGTTCCCTTCACCGTAGACTGACAGCCCCCACCCGGATGCAGGGAGGTGGGCACACACCCAGACACACAAAAGGCGCCCCCCGCCCCCCCACGTTAGGTCAGCTGTAGCACAGACCCCCATCTCCTGCCCCCTTCTCACTGAGGTGCCCCCCTCCCAGGGTGAGCTGGAGCGGCAGCTTCTTCAGGCCAACCCGATCCTGGAGGCCTTTGGCAACGCAAAGACGGTGAAGAATGACAACTCCTCCCGATTTGTGAGTGCAGGGAGCGCGCTGCCTGATGCCTGGCGCCAAACAGCAGCTGGG